ATTATGATAGTTATCACAATATTACAATAGAATCTTATTTATCAATCTTAATAATAAATCACGGTGATTTCTTATCATTTGGTAACTAACCATATACAAAAATATTTTTTTATCATACCTTAAAATAATCATTTAATCAAATGATTAGTTTATATAATCCTTTTGATTTATCATAACTCAACTGGTTCAGTTTTTCAGAAATTGTAAACGCAACATTCCACAAGAAATTGAACTATTTATTTTTAATAAAATCAATCTTTATTCTTAATAACAATAATTAAATGCATTCCAGAATTTACCTATAATAATTTATTTATCATAATATCTTCTCTCAAAATTCATTAATGAAATATTTACCTTGTATTTTTTATTCTTACTTAAATGATTTGATTGAATTAACTTTGAAATTAAAAAAATAAATTTATTTACAGACTAAAAGAACATAAACAATTAATTCACAATATTGAAAATATGTGAACTCGTCCTTATGATAAAATATTATTGCATCACATGAACTAATCACAAATTAACTCATTTTACCGAAACTTTTTCATATGTATTAATATATATTATGCATTTTAGAATTATTTAGTACTACTTTCCGAAAAATGGATTAACATTAATTCTGTAAAGCTCAGCTGAATAAATGTGAATTGTTTGTATAATTGTCATAAACTGTTTCGCTTAATTTTTTTATTAATGTTCCAATAACAAATAAAAAATCACTACTTAATTTCTTTCCTATAGAAAAGATTATCAAATACCAAAAATAAATTCATCCATTTTATACTATATATTCATTGATTTATTTTCCATAGAAAAGACCATTAGATACCAAAAATAAATTTACTCACTTTATACCATAATTAATTGATTTATTTCTAGATATAGTAAATAATTTTTTTTGGCGGGAAATAGTTACTATTTAAAAAATAATCAAACATTTATATATATATATATTGATTTCAAAACATGGAGATTTTATATAGTCGAAGAGTTAGTGTGAGTGTATTGCTAGAGGGATGATGCAAAATATATGCTGGGCGTGCTTTTTTCTATAATTGTATAAATATTTTTAGAGATATATTTAATTATTTATTTGGTTAAATAATTTTACATGTTAACCTTAAATTAAATTATATCATGATTACTTAAATAATTAAACATGTGTAGAATAATGTATAAACTATATTTTGATATTATAATGAGAATAAAATGAGAATATTTGATGTGGAGTAAAATTTAGTTCACCAAATTTAAATTTTGTGGTTTACTCTACTCTAGAATTGGGAAATTCTACTCTATCTAGAGATCAAGGCTAAAGATGACCTAAGTGCAAATCAAGTTTCTGATTTTATTCTAGTTATTTTTGAATTGTTTTTCCTGTCAAAATATAATTTAATCAAATATATTATGTAACTATTAAAAACTAGAAGTCAATCATCCTAAATGATTTATATATAACTAGTACGTACCCCGTGCGATGCACGAGCTGTATTTATTTTGGTAAAATCTATATATATATAATTGCTGGCATACAACATTTAATAAAACCTAATTAATAAAACCTCTATTAATTTTCCCGCCCATTTTTTCAATTAATGTAGAACCGTTACATTTTATTTTCCCGCTCATTTTTTTCAATTAATGTAGAACCGTTACATTTTACATTAGTAAAGTGTAATAATAATTTTAAACTAATTTATTCACTACTAACACTAATTGATTACAATTTTACATTAAATAGTATGTGGAAGTTACATACTTATAAAAAATTGTATAACAACTTTTTTTTTTGTTTAAAATACTTTCTCTAAATAAATGAAATATTTTTGTCTTTTAAGCGATTTTTATCTAATATTAATTAATTGGCATGAGTGTCATAATTAAACACCTTAAAATTACATAAACAATTGTTTTAACAATGATAAAAATAATTATTATATTTTTCTAACTAATTAATTGTATGGTCCGTAAATTACTAAATTATATTATCCATTAAAATTTATGGCATCAATATAAAGATTCATACATAAGTTAAACAATTTATATTCGCATTACACATTTGCATATAGTCAAAATGTAAAATGTAATACATCAATTATCTAATATAATTTTATATATTGTATACATACATATAATATATAAATTTTTATTTTTCTTTGTGCATGTGCACAGGATGAATACTAGTTTATAATTAAAGACTATTAATCAATAAGTTATAATACATTGACATTTGTTAGGTAATCGTAAAATGATCATCATGAAAAAATCATACATTATTAAAAAGCTCTTTGTTTTTCCATGCAAAATTATTTTTCACTTGGTAACCGTAAATCGATATTTACCAAGATTGCTCTTCACTTGGTAATTGTGAATTGCATAGACACCTCATTCCTTCATTTTTTTGTCGGAATGTTACCGCCATGAAATAAAACTATAGTGAAAATATGTAATATTGTGATAGATACTAAAAATATGATTATCAGGTGAAGTTTAATTTTATATCGAGTATAAGGAAAATTGTTACCTTAAAGTTAAAGTGTGGATTTTGAGTATATATATATATTTTGTCAATCATTCTCATTTTTTATCCCAAATTTATTCCAAAAATTAAGAACGGTTTTGTTTTGTTATGTTTTAACAGAGATTTGAAATTTTGGTTGTATATTTTGTAAAACATATTTATAAAAATAATTACGTTTAAGAAAAACAACAACGATATTTTATCATTTGTAGATAAAAAATAACTAAATGAATCGAAGGACATGTAAATCACGGTTTTTAAATGAAAAATATATTTCATAAAAAAAGTGATAAGAAAATGATTCAAAATGATAAAAAGAAAATCGTATATTATAACAAAAAGATGTTTACATGAGTAGTGGATTAGTGAATCGAAAATTGTGGCAATTTTAAAAAACATGTTACCATGATTGAAATGAAATCTTTAGAATATTTTTTACTTTTAGTTAAGTTGCATATATTGCATAACTATATATGAAAAAAATAAAATATTTAAAGTTCAAATAGGCTATTTATTTATATGGATATAATAAAGTGTACAGTCCAAATAATTAAATTTTAGTTAGCATTTATATTGTTAATATTGATACTGTGATTATTGTAAAGTCCAACTCTCATTTTTACGGTAAATTTATATTATATTATATTAAAATGAATTGATAAGTCTAAAAAAAGATATGATTGAATTAAAAAGATTGAATCGTAGTTAAATATCTTGATATCATAATTATACTGTTTTTAAGAAGATATTCCATAACATTTGGTTCCATAATAATATTGCTTTTAAATATATTTGATTCCAAATAGCCGGATTTAGTGCTTGATCAAATATTATGGAATATCTTTTTAAAAATATCTAATTATTAATTTATTTTTTGTTTCTTATTTATATTTTATTTTTATTTTTTGCCAATTGACAATATTATGTTTGATTACATTGTGCACGCAGATAATTTTTTAGATATAAAGTTGTGAACTTAACAAATATCTTATGTGGTTCACAATCTATATAAACAATTGACATTTGTCAAAATTTATGTGATAACAACATTTATGCATTGTAAATGCTTTTATTTTGTTTTAAATAATTTCAATTATACTTCTATCAATTCCAAATAAAATTCATACTACTTAAATTCAAACATTTCGTACCAAAAATAAATAACCCACTTTATACCACAAAATCGGACATTTATTACTAGCAACACATTTTCTATGAAAAAATAAACATGAATATCAGATACTTAAAATAAAATCATGAACTTTATACCAAAATTGAATTTATTAATTTAGTCAACTTTATACCATAAATTAATTAAGTATTTTCTAAAAGTCACATTTTGTCCAAAATATTTTTTAGCGGCACATAAATGTTATTTATATTTTTGTATTGGTTATCTTGTCTACGAAAAAAAAGATAATCTTGCAACTCTACTATGCCAACAAAAAGATGTATGAAAAATAACATAAGTATTAATTTATTATGTTTTACTCAATACATGAAATATAATATAGATATAAAGATTAACGATTAATTCTCTATAATTGCTCAATCAAGTCTATATGTTTAAACTAAAGATTCGAAAGTTTCTATAATACCCCTATATTTGTTTCCATAAAACTAAATCATCTTAAATTTAAATTCAACTAATAAAGGTAATAACCATAAGTATTTGACTAAAAAGATTATGTACATTAATTACATTGATTTTTGTTAATTTACTATTTTTAGCCAATAATTAATGAAATTGGCGGTAAAGTGTTTCTAAAAGTGAATTATGTTAATCCTTATTATATATTAATAGATTAGAAATTGGATTATACAAGTTTATGTAATAAAATTATGGGTATATTATTTTTTCCACCAGTTTTTGGATTTAGCAACTTACAATATTTTTTGTGTTAAAGCGCAATTTGAACTTCATCAACATTCATAATTTGCTTACTTGCCTACATCTTGACCAGTGCCCAATAAAATCGTATGGTCAAGGAGTAGGCGAGTGTGCAAATTACGAATGTTCATGAAGTTAAGGTTGCATTTTACAACGAAAAAAATATTGTAGTAAATCCCAAAAGCACGCATAGTATATGTTGTATCCAATGTTTTACCCTAAATTATTATGCTTATCAAGATACTCAATGTGTCAAAATACTAATAAGAAAAAATTGTAATCACTAATATGAAAATATCATAGAATTAAATTTATTTGAATAGTGAAAGAAGTGGGCAATAGTGAAAAATCACGTGCTACTTGTTGATTATTGCATTCTTAACTGGTTATCGTGTGTTTGCTTGACAGTGTCTTGAGACATACCATGGTGATAATCTTATAAGTCGATTACCCGATGATATTCTCCTCATTATCCTATCTTTCCTCCCATTAAAAGAAGCTGGGCGAACAAGTGTTCTTTCTTCTCGTTGGAGAAACCTGTGGAGTTACACCTCACATCTCAACTTTGATGACTATAGTTCAATGGAGAAGATTATTGAGGACCCAGAATTTCGCAGTGTTGAGAGGGAAAAGTATGTAAAGTGGGTGGATTCGGTTCTCCAATCACACCGAGGGTCCACTGTGAAAGAATTACGAATATGCTTTAGTTTAGTAAAATCAGCAGGAAAGTCAATTACGAAGTGGCTTGAATTTGCTTTTGAGAGGCACACTGAAAAGTTGGAGTTGAACCTTTCAGAAGGTGACTGTCTTCATAACCCAAATGAACTGTATGCGTTTCCTCAAGAGTTATGCAGTAATATCAGTTCAGACCATCCTTACAAATCTAGTGGACTTTTTGGCTGTAAGTCCTTAAAAATGTTGTCCTTGGAGTGTATTAATATCTCTGGTGAAACTATTGAGTTTTTCTTACGTGGCTGCCCATTGCTGGAGGAGTTAATTGTCCGTGCCTCTAATAAATTGACACGTCTGGAAGTTTGTGGACCATCCCTTGTATTAAAGCATTTGGAGATATTGATGTGCCGTTATTTAAAATCCTTAAGAATTTCTGCTCCGAATCTAACTTCACTTAGGCTGTTTAAAATACAAGGCGTCTTGCTTGAGGATGTTCCAATGCTTACTAGGGTTAATGTGACCTCTGTGGAGACTTCTTCTATGTATGTAGAGAGATTAATTCCTACATTGCTTTGCTGTCTTTCCCAATTGGAGATTCTCACCTTTGACACTTGTTGTAAAAGGGTAAGGTGTCTTTCTGGATTGGTTTAATTTTCACTTAATGGAGCTTAGTGATTGTAAAGTAAATATAAAACTTGATACTGGAGCTCTATTGTTGATTTGACAATCATCACGTGGTTAAATTTGTTGGGTCATATAATACACAAATGATTGTCAAATCACCAATACTAACATGAAATTATTTGGAAAATAATATTTATTGGACGTTTTTCTGAAAGAAAAAGAAAAAAAAAAGAAACTTTATTTGTTTGTTATTGCAGGAGCTTCTATCGATGCTCAAATTCCCCATGATGCCTAAACTTAAGAAGTTGGTCATCATTGAAGCTTTACATGGTGTGGACTCGAGTCTTCTTGGCCTATCTCATTTTATCAGTGCATCTCCCAACCTGCGAGAATTTGAGATACAGGTGGTCCTTGTAAATATTATCCCTGCTATCTCGTTATCATTGAATGGCTTTGCTACTTGTATTTGTTGTCTTATATTATTTATAGGTGTCAACTTAGAATATGAACTTATTTTATTTTCACTTTGTATGGGCAGCAAAGGTGGTCTACTAGAGCTGAAAGGTCAAACAACGAAATTCAGAAGGGATTGAAGCACTTCCCACTGCACCAGCACCTGAATGTTATTCGGTTTTTAGGTTATTATGGTTGCCCGAGTGACGTTGAATTAGTCAACTACTTGTTGGAGAACTGTGTCACTCTTAAGGAAATCATTGTTGATACCCAAAATCCTCGACGCATGGCCTACGAACCACTTGATTCAGAGGAATTAAAATTAGCTGAAATAGCAAAGGTTTACGCCAAACTGCAGCTGGAGCCGCTAGTACCTAAGCACATAAGCTTATTTTTATGCTAGCCGTTTCTGTGTTTTAATACTCTTGTTTTCTTGGTGATTTATATTAGAACCTGTTGTGATTTATTATCTGTCTTGTGTTGTTGTGACTTTATTGTTTTTTAGTATTATGGAATGACACTTTGCTTTCTTGTAGTATCTTGCATTTGAAATATTTGAGGTTGTAAGGTTGTGATCCATTCCTCATGTTAGTGAGTAGATTTATTTCTTGCTCGTGTTAAATTTTTAGCAAGGTTTTGTTTACTTCATTTTTCTTGCTCGTGTGCGATTTTTAAACTAGGGTTGTTTACATTGTGTTTGGCGAATTGTTCCAACTTTTTGGCGAATTCCAAAGTAAATGAATTTTTTTACTATAGAAATGATATATTTTGCTCGAGTAAAATATATAGTACCCCTTTATATTATACGCAAATATTATACGCAGTTTGCGCATTTTTTCTTCGTATTTTAAAAATTACATCAAACCCCTTTGTGTTGTACTTTTACATGCACGAATTACCCGAAATCATGTAAGTTGACAGAAGTGTGACTCACGCGCCTGCGCTGCGACCATTTCTTCCAATTTGACCTCAGAAGCTTGTGAAAAGGCCATTGTACCCCTCAACACCCTTTTAAATAGCCAGCAACGATCAAGACTATTTCCTCCATCACTTTACCTCATTTTGGCACAAAAATCCCCTCATTTGCTCCAGAATTTGGATCCAAACATGTGCGGTTTTTTCAGCATTTTTTTTTTCTTCGGAATTTGTCTGCAATATTTTTGCAACAATTTTTTTTTCAGTAATTTTTTGCACCAATGTTTTGCTGCCAGATTTTCTAGCAATTTTTTTTTCCATCACCGGCATTTATTTTCAGCAACACCAATAGGCAAGTAATTTTTTTATTTAAATATCATTTTTATTTGTCTTTTAAAATGAATGTAGGTTGAAAACGACTTCCCAAAAATTAAGGACGACAAAGAATGAGAGTCTGAATTTAAAGTATAGGCACCCTAAATGTTATTGCAACACGTTTGCTCAAATTAGGGTTGCGAGTCCTACAAAAGAAACTGTCGACAAACTATTTTGCAATTGTTCGTACAACAAGTGTGGTTTTTTTGTTTGGCTTAAACCTACCTCGGTGAATTGGGTGAAGGCAAATCAAATGAATGAAGATGATGTTTATTATGAAGATACTGATGAAGTTGAATCAACGGGAGCAAATATAACAAACCAAAATGCAGAAGTTGCAACAATGGTGAAAGAGATGCAAACAAGAATGTAGAAAATGGAGAAAAAGTTTAGCAATGGATTGTTTGTTTTGCTTGTGTAATCCTTTTGCCTGTATTGTTCTGAAGTAACTGTGCAATGTAATCATGTTGACAATGTATGTCTTTAATGTCAATGAAATGAAGTTTCTACACACATTATTCAAACACTTGCATTCATAAAAAAAAA